GGAGGCAGACACGTCAGACAGAGCTTCCAACGTTCCCGATCCTGTGCCAGAGTCTGAGCTTCGGCAAAAGGCAAATGGAGTCTGGAACAGACTCCTTCCATATGTTTGCACCAGGTTAATCTTGGCCGTCCGCCGTCCGCTGGGCCTTCTGCCGATCGGATTTGCAAGGAGCAGTTGCGTATAAAATAATAAAATCAATTATTAGAAATACCAATGCAACGATGAAATTTATTTGTGCTAACGCGGTACACTAGCCTGTTTAGTGATAGTGTGATGCTGTCAGTTTTTTCTCGAATATTTTTTATGTAAATAAGCAGTTTTATGTTAGTTTTTGAACATTATCAAATGTGGTAACGAATACTGAAATAATTTGTTCACAACACGACAGTCCGCAATAAACTTATTCCCTGTCTGAGCGATAGGCAAGTCTCACGTGCAACTGTTTGCATACATGGCAAACGTGCTATAAGAATCCCTTTAGTCTTTTTGCAAGGTCACTTGGCAACATTTGAAAAGACACAGACGCATGCCCAGAAGGCATCGATCACTCTGCTGTGGAATCCAGTCTTCTAGAGCCTCTTTTATTCGGTCGAACCTCACTGGCCGCCATTGGAATTAAATATCGGCCGATGAAAACGAGTCATTGAATATGGCTTACTGCAGACTCAGAGAATGCGCTTCCACCATTGAATTCGTGACTTTATTTTCAGCACTTTAAAATACCAGGTGATAGGCAAGTTTTGACATGGAGTAAATATAATGTTGTCCGTTTTGAAGGAGAACCTTCATTAGAACAACGGTTTTATTCTTTTATGCATATTTTGCGGAGGAGGAATCAGGGACGGCGGGGTAAGGAGTAAGTCTAATGTGATCCGTGATTAACTTGTCATAGCTATGTAAACATCATTAACAGCTATACATAGTATTTCGATATTCCGAGGTATCAGGACATCGTTCATACAACAGATACTTGTAAGTTTACGAGTGCACTAAAATATTCTTGCGCTAGTTCGGTAATATAATATTTGCATTTCTAATTGTTCGTGGTATTTTACTGTTACCTAACTTTGCTTTGTTGGCGTTAAGACCCGATCTGGTCAATTGGCGAGAAGTCCGAAATCGGATGAATGCAAGGCAACGACTGGAACATGCTTTCAGAATCGCAGAAAACGAGTTCGGCGTCACCAAGCTGCTTGACCCTGAAGGTAAACAACGATCGTGGATTTTGGCTTTCTTTAATAAAACGACAGGCATACTTCCTGTGCAAAATTATTTCGAGTCATCGAAAAGAAATCCACAGGAACTTATTAGTAGAACTGCTGTGCACACAAATCGGTATAATTTCTGGTCTTGTTCTTCAGGCAGTTAAACACTATACTACCGTCGAACAGGCAGTTAGACTAGAATGACCAAAAAACTGAGCAGTGGTGCACGACAGACGAGCGAAGGTACGTTTCTGGTGGCCACACCGTCAATGAATTAAGTTGGTACGAATTGAAGAGGTCAAGATCGAAACATAGAACCATTGCATTCCAGTTACGAAACTGCAAAAAATGAGATGAAGACGAAATTAGGCGCGAAGTAGATAAACATCGGATGGAGTAAATGATTTCGTGTTGAAGGGCGTTTTCATTAGAGCCACGTGCATCGGTGTTGGTCATAGCACAAAGTATGTAGCTTGTTTATGCCAGAACTCTGACTTTATTGCACATCCACCTCACACACGATCAACGGCAAGGCACTGACCTCGTTTGACACTCCCATTGCTCGTTTGTAAGCAACGAAGTGATACTTATTTGCCGTATAATTTCGACTTGTTCTGTTAAAAGGCGTTGGTGTTCTTGCCTTAATTCGTTTTGAGCCGAAGTGCATGAATATGCAAAGCAAATAAGTTATTACGTTTGTTGATAAGCGAGCAGAAGTGGCAAGGATGCCACAAGCCTGAAACAATGAACATGGTAGAGATGGCGATTAAGGACATGAAGTGACTGTGAGAAAGATGGCAGGCGTAAAGTGTTTCTCATTTTAAGAATGAAGAATGCAAGGCGAAACGCCTGAATGTTAAAATAGCATTGAAGTAGACAGCAGTGAACTCAGCATCTAGAAGTTGAGGAGGAAAGTGGAAGCAGTAAAAGACCATGAGCATGAGTAACTTGATTTTTACTAGAAAAATTAACACGGTATGGCCATTGAGTCAGCAATCTTCGACGGGTTAATGAGATTGTAAGTGATGGCGATAATATTATTAATCACTCGTTTCTCTTGCAGCCGGTTGAAACTTTACATTGGGTTTGTTTTGCTTATGTTTACTGTCAGATATCTTCTGTCCAGGTGGACTGCAGTGGCTAATCTGGTGTAAATTTAGACGTCGATGTACCCGTGCCTGACGAAAAATCATTAATCACGTACATATCTTCGTTATACGATGCCCTTCCAGAATACTTCGGAACCACAAACGTGAGTGCTATTTATTATTCATCTGCTTTGACGTATTTCTATGGCAATTGTATTGTTTAGTACGAAAATGACATAAGCGAGTATACGTCTGCCGCTCGAGATTTTCTGCAGTGGATGCAGCGGACGATCCAGAATCTTCAGGATCGTTCAGTGCCATTCAGTGGTCCCGAAATTAAGGTGCATTCGGCTAAATTGCACGGTTTTGTTTTTCATATTTTACCGCGAGATTTTTTGTAGAGGCTACAAGCAGAAATGGAACTGTTTAAGAACGAGGACTTGCCTTCAAAACTGAAGGAGAAGCAGCGCCTTGAAAGAGTATACCGCGAACTCTATGTACTAGTTACTCTTGCACTGACGTTGCGTTTTTCACTACGAGATGTTCTCCGTTGTAGGAATTGTTTGCCGAAACGGATTTCTTCGATATCGACGACGAATTGAGCAGCGAAAATCTCGATCGGTGTTGGAAGATGCTGTTGAACGTATTGAACGAGCGCGAGATCGCCATGACCAACGCGTCCGCACAGGAGGTGACCATGCAGAAGTTGATTGACCAACTGCACCAGGCGGTCGGCGTGTTGAACGAGCGACTGGATGTCATCCTACAGCAGATCGAAGACGTGTCTGCGCGTGGCAACGCGATGAACTCCGCCGACCTTCAGCGCACCATCAACGACATCGTCGAGCAGTTGAACGAACTGGAGGTGCCGATCGAAAATCTTTTCCAGGACGTCGAGACCCTAAAAACAGCGCGTCATCCACAGGCCTCAGAATACTACAAACAGTACGTCGTTCGTTGCATTATATTTTTCGCTTATAATATAATTTACGTTGTCCTGGATGACTTCAGAACGCAACCAACTAACTTGTTCTTATCATACCATAATGTGTGATTTTGAAGGCGTAGGATAGTTAATCGGTTAGTTGTAACGCTTCCAATATTGTTTACATTATACATTGAGAGCATGCACTGATGATTCGGCGGCAAGCATGTAATCCTAAAAAGATATGTAGTAAATTTAACAGTTATTCGCAAGCAGCTATACTCCTTTTTATGTAAAATGAGGAAACGCCAAGTGAGAAGGTGATCAGTGACAGAGATTTGAGATCTACGTGAATATGTGTCTTGTACGTTATTAAACTGTGTAGCAGCATCGCTGTCAGTAGTGTACGATATTAGCATCCATGTTTCTTGTCCATTTATAATATCATTCAGTGAATGTTGTTTCACACTCATATCATGGTAGAGTATGTTTTCAGGATCAGGCGTGATGCTACTGTCGTCGTTTTTAACGGTTGTTGTGCAGCGAAGTTTCTTTTTATCCAGGTAGCAACAGATTTTCCTAAACAAGTTATTCATCGATTTTCTTTCAAGTGGTAGTTTCCATCGTCTCAGCTTCTCTATTTCTCTTTCTCTGTCTCCCTCCTCATAAATGCTTCATTATTTTTCTTAATCAGTTTTTAATTTCTGATAATTTCTCTAATCTTTAATTTGTAATTTTAATTCTGTAGTTCTCTGCTGAAGACTTGCCTGCTATCAGTCATGTCAAGTCTGTGCTTTTCTTACAGTTGTTTAGTTTCCGAGCTTATCGACGGCCGCACCTTCGTCCTTTCTTCTGTCCCAATTCCTCCTCTTCCGTTGTCACTACTGCCTGTTTGTATGTTTTGCAGGTTTGTTCTATCGATACACCGCTTACGTAATTCAATGGTGGCCGAAATATTCCATCACCTGATATGCTCGGCGTACTTTTGAGACTTAGGGCTTGAAGATTTCGAAATTGTCGCCAGAGCGTATCTCCTAATCAAACATCACAGCTTCACTCTAAGTACTGCAATCACCAGTTCATGATCCCTGCCCCATTCAGCACTCTGACACCATGACAACCTCAAGAGGTATTCGATGACTTCTGATGATGAGGTCATCGTCACTCTGGTTTCCCGTTGATACATCAGTGAGGAAGTGCCATGTGATTATATGCACAGACTTGTGAGAAAACCATGTCCCGCCGTCAAGTAAATCGTGCGTCTCAAACTTATCTTCTAGTCGTTCACTGGTTTCATTCATCCCGCTTGTATCGTGAGATTCTACTCGCCGATACATCTGATTCTTTGTTCCCACTTTCGCACAAAAACTACCCACGGTAATCGAGGTATACTGAGCTCGGCACTGTTGCAGCAGCGGCATAAAATTTTTCTTTTACTGCCTCTGCAGCGGTTTCGATAGGGGCATAATAGCCAAATACAGTAAGACCGAGTTCTTCGTTCTCTACTTTGACCTCGCCATAACGATTCTTCCAAATACCGCGCTTCGGTGCACAACGGCCCCTTGTACATTTCTACTAATTGTTAGCGCAACCTCATTTCTTTTGTCTTTTTTGCGCAATAGAAGCGGTAGTTTCCAGCGACCACAACGCGCCTTTTCAAGCCAATGAATTTCTTTAGTTTGACGACCAGCGTCATCATTAGAGTAGCGTGATTATCACATATTTATCATGACGATAACCTAATCGTGCTGGATAAACGCGTCAGTGGATAAATCTCGTGAACTTCATAAAAGTTCGTTTCCTTGAGCACGCATTAAAAACCGAAGAAGAATAAACCTGAAATTTGAAGTTTTGCTTGTGTACGAGCGTGAGGTCCGCGGTCTTCAAGCTTCTTACCAAATTGCTCCTCCGACAGATTTAGAAGTTTTGATCAGGTATGGCTCGATCAAAAGTCACTAATTCTTTTTCAGACAAGTAACGAATCGATGTCAACATCCTTTTCATGTAACGTATGGACTGTTGTATAGATTTGGAAAAGGATTGGTCAAAGGTCTTAAAATTAACTAATCCCAGTTTACGCCAGTATGGACGGTAATATATGCACTGTCGGGAGGGATGGCCGAAATGAGCTACATCAGTGCAATCTCAATTTTGAATACTATTACCAGTGACTCAAGCAAAAATGATTTCTCAGTGATACATGTGACGATGTATAAAACAGTGCAAACAGAACATCGAATTAAGTACTGCGACCATGCCAGAAAAAAACATTGAATGCCGATCGTTCCAACGGAAACTCTAACGATTTATGCTGTATCATGTATAACTGCTTGACCATTCAAGAAAGATAATGATTCTTTGAGGTGAGTGGGCTAATGCAGGAATAGCAGGATACGACTTGAAACAAAT